GTGGGGGGGGGGGGGGGGGAAGGTGTGGGAACGGGCTTCCTGTGTCTGCCAATATCTAATTGGGGGATGAATAAACATCCCTGAGCGAAAGAAGAATGGCTTCTGTGTTCTGTAGATCTCTTCGAGCCGGAATGTGTCCGGATAGGTGCTGGATGGAACCGCGCCGTCTCCAGCAGAGTTATCCCTCGCTAAACCCCGTGGGCTTCAACGGATCGAAAAGGCCGTGACTCTGTTTAGGGCAGCGCCACGAGGTTTTCAGGTTACGAGAAACGTTCCAAATGCCCTTTCTCGTCCCCTTAAGTCGCACCCTCAGTCGGTGCGGTTGCAGTGGCCTCTCCCGTCTAATCCCGAGCCCCTCTTCCTGCCTGTTCAAGTTCAGCTTCCTGGCGTGTTTACAAGCTGCACAAGGATGTCTGGCCCCCCTAAGGAGGTCTGCTGTAAACACGCCAGGCTGTCGAACTTTGTGGGTGGGAGTCCTGCAGCGTAATTGGCACAGCAGCAGAAAGGACGTGTCTTAGAAATGCAAACTGAATAGGGTTTCATGTCAATTTCTTGTACCTGTTTTTTTAAAAAAACGAGTGAGTTCCTGGGTTTAAGGAGGAAACGTATTCACTGGGTAGCAACGGAAGAAGAAGAGATTGGATGTATTCCCCGCCCTTCACTACCCAAAGGAGTCCCAGAACAGCTTACAATTCATTTATTTTATTTGTTCGACTTTTATCCCGCCCTCCAACATCAATAAAACCAGTATACAGAAAACACGACCAATTCATATAAAACAGTTTAACTATAAATACAATAAATATCAATAAAAACAGCTCAGTATAAATATCAATAAAAACGGCTCAGTATATATTATATCTAAACTTCTACCGCAGTGTGATCACTACCATTTATATGCCTTAGTGCAGTGATGGCGAACCTTTTAAAGACCGAGTGCCCAAACTGCGACCCAAAACCCACTTATTGATCGCAAAGTGCCAACACGGCAATTTAACCTGAATACTGAGGTTTTACTTTAGAAAAAACAACTCATACATTAATTTAGGATGATCCAAACAAAGTAAAGAAAGCAATCCCAAATGCTTTCATTTAATTAAAATTATTTGGCAGAGAATCTAACACTTTAATGATGGTCTGGGGCGATGGCTTGCGTGCCCACAGAGAGGGCTCTGAGTGCCACCTCTGGCACCCGTGCCATAGGTTCGCCACCACTGCCTTAGTGGGTTGACAAGGCTCAGCTGGCATTATATCAATCTCGCTGATACGCCCGGCGGAAAAGCTCCATCTTCACGGCCCTGCAAAATTGCTGGAGATCTCCTTCCCCTCCCCACAACAGACAGCCTGTGAGGTCGGTGGGGCTGAGAGAAAGCTCTTTTGAGGACAGCCTTTGAGAGGACAGCTCTGAAAGAACTTGTGACTGACCCAAGGTCACACCAGCAGCTGCGTGTGGAGGAGTGGGGGAATCAAACCCGATTCTCCCAGATTAGAGCCCGCGCTCCTAACCACTGCACTGGACTGGCTGGGATTTGCTGAGCTGAAAGACTGGTGTCTTTAGGTAACTTTAACAAAGGTGAGTTTGGGATTATATAGAGAAGCTTGGCAGTGGATCCTGGAGGAGTTCCTGATCCCAGCAGACACGCCCCGTTGCGTAACGCTGGCCGACCCGCCATCTCATCTCCCGAAGACAAGGGCGTTTCCGTGGCGTGGCTTCAAACAAGCCCCGGATCCCGTGCACAGAGAGTTACCGATGCAGTTGGAATCCCTGGTGGCTGCCAGACCCCAAGTTCACAATACGGGGAACGAAGCGTGACTCGCTCGCTATGAGTGAAGAATTACTTTAGGAATGCAAAAAGGTCCTCCTTTGCAAGGGGTGCACTTAAAGTTGGGGCCGTAGAGGCCATTCACTCCAACCCCCTGCTCTCAAAGCAGGATCAGCCTGAAGCAGTGATGGCGAACCTTTTAGAGACCGAGTGCCCAAACTACGACCCAAAACCCACTTATTTATTGCAAAGGGCCAACACGGCAATTTAACCTGAATACTGAGGTTTTACTTTAGAAAAAACAACTCATACATTAACTTCAGATGATCCAAACAAAGTAAGGAAAGCAATCCCAAATGCTTTCGTTTACTTAAAATTATTTGGCAGAGAATTCAACACTTTAATGATGGTCTGGGGCGATGGCACACGTGCCCACAGAGAGGGCTCTGAGTGCCATCTCTGGCACCCGTACCATAGGTTCGCCACCACTGGCCTAAAGCATCCCTGACAACCGTTGGCCCAAAATTCAGGTGAGTCGCCCTGCTGTCCTGAAGAAGAAGAGATTGGATTTATACCCCGCCCTTCACTACCCAAAGCTGTCTCAGAGCAGCTTACAAACTCCTTTCCCTTCCCCTCCCCACAACAGACAACCTGTGAGGTGGGTGCGGCTGAGAGCTCTGAGAGAAGAAGAAGAAGAGGAGATTGGTTTATACCCCTCCCTTCACTACCCAGAGGAGTCTCAGAGCGGCTTACAAACTCCTTTCCCTCCCCCTCCCCACAACAGACACCCTGTGAGGTAGGCAAGGCTGGGAGAGCTCTGAGAGAAACGGCTCTTTTTCAAGAACACCTCTGAGAGA